CCTTTACTCTAAAAACCTTTTATGTTAAAATTCTCTTAGATGAACTACCTGTTTCTTACATTCTTTACAAATATAATTCCTCTTACTCTCCTCTCTGTCACCAATGCAATCAAACTAGCTCTTCATTACACTGGACTCTTTGTCCTTCTACTCAAACAATTTATTACTTAATTTCTAATTCTCTTAATTGCACTTTAAATGTTACCAGTTTTAACATGTCCACCAATTTTGTTTCTAATTTATATCAAGAAATTCTTATACTTAATAGCTTTAAATTGCATAACTTTTCACATATACCATCACTTATTTCTACCTTATCTGGTTTAGTTCCTATTGACCTTATTTCTACTATTCATAATACTTCCATTTCCTATCACACAGCTATTTCTCTTTCTATTAAATTCCTTCTTTATTTAAATCAACAAATATACAAACAAATATAGATTCTATATTGCATCTCACATTCTGCACAGTCTCAAAACACATTTATTACAAATTTAACTTATAGTCCTTCTTCTAGTTTACCTTCTATCTCAGTATTTCAAATTATTATCAAAATTGATCTTTGAACTATCCAATAGATTAAATATTATATCTCTCTCTCTCATATTATTACTAACATTCAAATCTAAGTGAGCCTTAACCACTCTTGTAGGTTTAGATTACAGATTATATGTCTGAGTCTTTATTCTTCATATGTAATTTAAAAGCAAGCTTTTCTTTGTAAAAACTTTAATTGAATTTCAATAAAGTTAAAGGCATAGCCTCACTGTTAATATTTAAAAAAAAAAAAGATATAGCAACTACAGTATAACCTCAATATAATGAAGCTCTGAAGCTGGAGGTTTTGCTTCATTATATTAAAACTTATTAGTAGTTTTATTATATCAGAGCTAATTTAAACATAAAAATTAGAAATAATCTTCATTATCATTATATCGAGGTTCATTATATCGAGGCTATACTGTAGTAGAAAACTCTTACACAAACTCTTTAAATAAGTAATATAGAAAAGTTACATATATAGCCAGTTGTACACTTTTTCTATAATAGTTTCTATAGAACTATGTTATTCAAAAAGTATTAATAAAGTCAAAAGATCAAAGAAGTTACTTTAATATTAAAAAAAATAGTTATTATATATATATATTTTTTTTTAAATATTATGATAAGTACTTGTAACCTAGGATTTTATTAATAGTATATTTGGCTAATGATTGCATTACAACCACAGAAGGCAACCATAAAGAGAGTATACAACTAGCCACCCATACAACTTTAGTTATTGTCTAATTTAAGTAGTCCACCTGAAGGTTCTACACTAGCTATTATACCTGAAACCCACTTGTAGATTCCCTATTTAACCACTCTGTTTCTGTATCTACCTATCTACCTCTGCCTACCAATGATCCCAGCCAATGTTAGTAAAAATATGCCATAGTCACTAAGTCTTTAAAGCAGTTTTTTGAAACCTTTGACCTTGTACTAAACCTTTCAAAATCTTCTGTATTCCATTCTTATAGCTGACCCAGTATTACTATGGCCAAGACCAATACTGGCAGTCAGGGTATACTATTAAACTGCTATGCCCTTGTAGAGTTCACCCCAACCCCAGTACTAACTTCATAACATATCCTTACTACTTTGGTATTCAATTCAAGTTCCACCAAGCTGTCATTTAGATAGCCTAGAAAGGTAGATTGAAAACATACACCTCTGGTTTACATGTTTGCTAGCATGTATTCTTTTTCTCTAGAATCTGGAAATTCCAATAGCCTGATTGGTTCATTTGGTTCCTCCTCAAAAACTGACATATTTGCCTAGTTTTACAAGTTCTAGCTCTGTTTCATAAGTCTAATCTTTATAGTAACACTGTCAAAAGTTCGGGTTACCTCTCTACTTGGGTCTTCCAAGTGGGTTTTTGTCTTTCTTCTTTTGGTTTCTATGATTTACATGATCACAAGGACTTATTATAAGTTTGCATCATCCAGTACTAGTTTGCATTCCTTTATGTAACCACAAACCTTGTCTCAAAAAACAATATCATATGACTGTTACATGAATACCATGTGACCTGTTAGTCATGCTGGTGCGATATAGGTAACAGATGTCTTATTCTAACCAATTGCAAGAGACAGTTAATTGTAATACAAAAAGAATTTTCAAATTTTCTGTCGATACTGAGATTTGAACTCTGGACCTGCCACTTAGAGGTTGACAACCTGACCACTTCATTAGGTTACCACATCCCTATTATTATATATATATTGATAATCTTGTTAAAATCTTTTGTATTTATACAAGTTAGAGTTTGATTTAAAATAACTAAAGTTATAAGATATAATATGAGACTAAAAGTTTGATATTTATAGATACTATCACAGGTCAAATAAATAAATAAAAGATAATTAATAGATAAATAACAAAAAAAAAATCTGCTATTATTCTATTTTATATCTGTTAAATAATAACAATATAACAGTAGCATAACAGCAAAATAACAATAAAATAACAAGAGGTTTGTCAATATGAGTAACATAATAGTAACATAATAGTAAAATAATAAAATGTTTTATTATTTTACTTTTAGTCTTTGTAACTAAAAGTAAAATAATAGAACTGTTTTATTATTTTGTTATTATATTACTATTATATTACTCATATTGACAAATCTTCTGTTATTTTATTATTATCCTGCTACTATGCTGCTGTTATGCTGCCATTATTTGGTAGATATAGGATAGAATAATAGCAGATTTTTTTTCTGTTATTTATCTATTATTTACCTTTTATTTATTTATTCAATTTGTATATATGAACTTACAACATATAGTTGATTTTAAATAAAGTTTAGTAAAATCTTCTAATTTTAATAAAAGTTAGTATGACAAATCATTTTTAGAAAGTTTAAAAATACAGACCAGAAAGGTTAAAATTTAGTAATCTTTATTATTAAAAATATTGTTTAAAATATGTGTTTTTTATTATATAGTTTCTCAATTGTAGAATACTTGTTATTTTTAAAAATAAGTCTGTTTATTAATATTCTAAGTTTCTAGTTTTATGATGTTACAGTTTTCTATTTTTAGAAATATATCTCTACAATTGTTATCATTAGGATTTGAACCAGCAGTCTTGCAAATTGTAATCTTGAAGCATAACCACTATGTTATTAACTCTAAAGGTTATTATTATATATTTATTATTGTATTTATATTATATTTTATTAATATTAGTTATTAGTTAACTGATAGTTATATTGAAGAATATAGTAAATAGATAAAGAATCTTAATTGGTTATTAGAACTTTGATATAACTAAATAATATTGAATAAAATCTGTGATATTATTATTGTCATATAACTCAAATACTTTTATACAAGTTTCATATATTTTAGTACAAAATTACTATATTAAATACTATAATACAAGAATTCTAAATATTTTTTATACAATTTACAAATGTTTCTATATAATCCTACATGTTTTTATATAATCTTTAAATATTTTTATATAATTCTAAATATTCCTATATAGATTTAAATATCTTAACACAAATTTCAAGTATTTTAAATACAAATAACAAATGTTTATAAATATTGTTCTAACTATTTTTATATAAACTTTATTTATTACTATACAAATTCCTATTACTTTTATTCCTTTCTAACTAATTCTAAAATTCTATATTTCAATTTAGATATAATAACCTTTTAATTACAAAATATAATATTTCTTTTTTAAAATAATTTCTATAAACAAATTTATCATTATATGTATTATTAATAAAAAGTTAATTTTATACTATTACTATTTTAAACCATTTGTCTGCTAATATGTAGTAAAATGAACTACTACACTTTCATCTTATATATATTTACAATAATCAATCACTGTACTAAGTAACCTTGTTATTTGATTGTTTTGTACCAAGAAAATTACAACCCTGTAACAATAATTTCATCATAATATATTTTATATATATGTATAATTAATGAATTAATAAAAAAGACAGATGATAAACCTCTCTTTAAAAAAAAAAAAACAAACACTTATTTTTCTAAAACTAAATATATATATATATTACTTAGATGATTAATTCACTATCTAGGAAAAATCTATCATTAAACTTCAATTATATTTTGTAACAACTCATCACAAATATATACCAATGACAGATTGTCATTAGATGACGAACTGAACACCAAATATAATTGAAAACCCTTTCTCTTGACAGAATCAAATGTAATGAGCAACAGAGGGTACAATGAAATACATCGAAGGGTACAAAAGAAGACTATCGAAGACCTACTAAAAGTTCAAAAAAAATCTATCCCTATTTACTCTTTATATAGTTTTTTTATTAGGCTCAAATAAGCTAGAAATCACGCAAAATGTAGTCATAATTTTTAACTACAAAATATGTGATAAAGTAACTGAGAAATCGTTTCGTAATTACTATTATTCGTAATAATTTAATATTTATTATTAATGGAGGGTATTACGAAAGGGAAAGTGTATCTTAATTTATTACTACATTTTTTCGTATATATTAGACTTTTAATTAATTTTATGCTATCTACGATCACACAACTCATGAACTCATGCAACGCAATCACCGAACCCCGGCGTTGAATTACCGGAGTACTATCGAACGTGTCGAACACACAGTGTATTACATATTAGCAAAGCAAAGAAATAATAATGAAGGCTTATACAAAAGAAAAATATTGCAATAGATAGTCGCATGGTAGCCTCCAAAAGTTTGTAAATCCAGATTAGCGGGATTAAACATTTAAATAAATTAGTAAGAAAAAAAAAAGTGTTTATTTTCACAATACAATAATTATGTGTGTAATACGTAGTAACAGATTTTTAGAGGTTACATATTCAACCATTTTGACCCGAGTTGTAAATTTTTGACTCGGTTGAACCGTTTTGACAGGGTGACCTGGTTTATTATAACCCGGTTCTAAACTCTAGTGCCATTCATCGATGAACTACAAAGTTCGCTCAAATGTCCAAGATCACCACAATAACGACATCCTGTAATACATTCCTGACTTACATGATTTTGACCACCACAATTTCCACATCTCACGTTTGATCGAGATCCGGCGATATGACTACGCCATGGATCTACGTTAATACCTCTAACTTTATTTTGTTCTAGTTGGCTGATTCGCGCTTCCAGCTTTTGAATATACTTTGCTGCTTCATCCATCTCTAGTTTTTTGTGTGCTTCAAATAATTGAAAGGTTTGAAATTCTCGTTCTCGGCTCATCTCCATCAAGTTAGTGTAACGATCTGTAACAGCCTTTACTTCTTGTTGCATGGAAACAAGTGTTTTAACCAATTGTGTTTTTTCGTTTAATAGATTTTGAACAAGTATGATTAAATCTGCTCGACTAAAATTGTCGAGGTCCATAAAACCTTCGGATGTTGAATGATTCCCTTTAGTAATAGAGCATTGATTCGATTGCGATGTGTTCGTACTCGTATTAAGGCCAGGTGGTGTAGAGATACGACGCTGAGGAGGTTCTTGAAATTCATGTGGATGAGAGTCTGAAAAATCTTGCAATGAATCTAAAACTGGAGACTTTGCTATATTTTCTCCGTTGAAAGTTTTATTATTGTTCAATATACTGTCTTGAAGTTCATCTGGATGTGTAGTTTGCGGTTCTGGGAAATCTTGCAATGAATCTAAGATTGGAGGTTTGATCGTGCTTTCCAAGTTTATAGATTGAATGAAATTTGTATTATTATTTAAACAATTATCTGTCATCGTGTCTGTTAAAGTTTTTTGCTCTTCAGCGTGGCAAGAATCCTGTGATGTAGAAGGATCATTTGATTGAGGTTCAAGTTCTTGTGATGGCATTAGATTATTATCTTGCTGTATAATAACTGATTGATTATCACCAGATGAACTTGTAGTTACACCACTAGAACTCTTTCGTTTTTTCTTTTTGCTCTTTTTTGAAACATCAGTTTGAACAGGATTATCCACAGGTTGTGATGCACTACTACCAGCATCTTTATCAACTTTCTTTTTTTTCACAGTTTCAGTCTTTCCCTTATCTATTGACTGCAAAAAAGAATCTTGTTTCTTCAATGCTAAAGTGTCCGATATCAATCCCCAAGCTTCTTTTAGAAACAAACGTCCAAAAATTCCAGATAACACCTTACGACCGGTCTCAACACCCTGTTCAAAGTCTTTTAAAAGAGCTTCACGTTGTTCCTGAAATTTCTTAGCGGTAGCTTCATAATTCTTATAATGTTTTTCCAACTGAATGGATTCCATAATTTCGCCTTCAGTCATTAACAACTCTAAGCAATTGTTGCATACGCTTGCAAGGTTTGTGATCGGAAATAAAGCACTGATTGCAGTTATTGCCGTTTGTCTCGTTGATTGCAACGTGCTTTCGAATTTTTTGATTCGTTTTCGAAATTCTTTGTTATTTGCTTTTTCCAATCGACCTTGAGTTGTCCGTTGGGATTGAGTTTTCCAGGATTCATCAAGTGCTTCAAGTTCTTGAATCAACTCTTTACTCTTTTTAGAGATATCTGAACGTAGAATTGATATCCTTTTCGATACCATTAATTTAATATCTTTAACCGTAGTTAAAGCATCTTTACATTTTGCTAAAATATCATCGAGAGATTCCTCGATTGGAATATTTGATATTCTATTCTGAAAATCAACAAGAAATCCTAGTACAGTACATTGTGTTTCTTCACTGAATTGAACAGCACTTGTTAAAGCCTTTTCAATAAAGCTTTCTTCCCAAAATGAAATCACTGTTTTAGCATTATGTATATAGGTTCTAAAAGCGGCATCAATATCATCCACAGGGTCTGTTGTAGATGTATTTGCCTTTTTTGATTTTGGTGTCTTTTTATATGCTTCAGCAATGGGTGCCCAATAATCTTTGAAAGGAAGTGATTCATCTTGATATTCTTTCATGAAATTTTCCATATTTGTCACACAACCTTTACCGAAAATTAGATCTCTATTTGCTTCTATTTGAAGTATTGATGTTAGGAAATTGGTAACATATGACCAAACTTGAGTTAAACTCTCTTTTAATGATTCTTTATTTTGAGATTTCTCTTTAAATAAAAGATCATTGAATACACGACGATCAAGATCAAGGTCAGTTGGAACTTTCCACTCTGGCCTTGTATGATGACATTGTTGTGGTGGATTCGTCAATTTCAATAGAGGAAAATGTTGTTTGGAAATTTGATAATGAGATTTTTCAATCTCAATAGATTCAAGTATACATACAAGATCACGTTCTTTATGTTCTTTATCATAAGTTGGTAAAATAGGCTTCGGTATATCAAATTCAACATTTGAGAAAATATCCGGAACAACATATAAACGATTAGGTGCCTTTATCCAAGCAAAAACTTTATGAACCATATCATTAATGATACTTTCCGAATTACTATCTGAACCAGTTGTTCTAGTTTTCTCATCATTATGTTTGATAATAAGTTCACTAAATTGTTGACAAATGATTGAAGCATTTTTTTTTGGTTCATCTGGTTCATTTACGGAATTATCACCTTTAATTGAATTATTGGTAGCGTTTTTCGCTACCCAAGTAAAATTCTTTTTGTAGATGAAAATTGCCCACTCTCGACAATAAAAGCAAGCACTACCATCACAAGCACGGAAACGATTAACATCTTTTGTTACGGATGCAACATCGATTCGAAGAGAAGAGACCGGCTGCAATTCTCCATTCGCTGCCTTGCCACTCGATTGTGGCTTAGCACGTAAGCTTACGAGCTTATTGTAAATGACATTAGGGTTAAATTCAATGTCTGTCATTTTTTTGTTTTTTTTAGAAAAAAGAAATAAGTATTCGATGTATATGGCAGTAATGTAAAGAAAAAATATATATATAATTTTTTTCTTTGATTTAGTAACCGTTTTTTAATTTTCGAAATAACGATAAAGTGTATTTTCACTAAAAAGGATTACAACCAAATTTTTTGTAAAAGTTTATATTTATGCAGGTTTGAACCGGCCTTTATATATTTACAGACTGTAAATCAGTCAATCAAAAGAGGCGAGGCACGAGCTTTAACAAAATGATGCAGGTACATTTTTTTTTGTATTAAAATAAGAGCGAATCGTTGACGAATTTAGAATTACGTAATCAATATCCGTTATAATGATGTAATACTGAATAACAGCATTATACGTAATACTAAGAATGCTCAGGTCATCGAGGAAAAATAGTTTTAGGTTCGGATAACGATAAAAAAGAAAAAAAAAAAAACCAGGAAGAATTCTTGTTTGACCTTACGAAAATTGGGTATAATGATGATCACATTCATTTTAACAAATCACTTTTTACATTTTCATTACCGAACAATTATTTTTTTTGAATCAAAAATAAGACAAAGTATTATAATAGATTAAAACTTTGGCTACACCAAATATGTATAAATACGTCTTTTTTGGTTGGTTATATGCCACATTTCTATATTGTTATTTAGCATTACATTGATAACCTAAATTCACGCTTCACACCAACCTTTTACAACAGATTATGTGTTACAATAAAAATATTTTTTGAAATTATGATAGCATTAGGATTAGAAGGTTCAGCAAATAAATTAGGGATTGGTATCATAGAACACGATATTGAAACTGGTCAAGTAAATATTCTGGCAAATGTTCGCCACACACATATCACTCCACCAGGAACAGGCTTTTTACCGCGAGATACTGCAACTCACCACAGAGCGCATATTATTCCGGTGATTAGAGAAGCTTTAAAAACCGCTAATGTAAAAGTAAAAGACATTGATGTTATTTGTTATACAAAAGGTATTTACGTACATTCTTTATCATCGTGGAATTATATTTGTAAATAATTTATTTTGTATCGATAGGACCTGGTATGGGAGCACCTTTAATATCTGTAGCGGTCGTTGCAAGAACCTTGGCACTGTTGTGGAATAAGTCAATTGTTGGTGTCAATCATTGTATAGGGCGTAAGTTCTTAATTTTTTGAATATGGATGGTATTAAATCTGTTAATAGGAACGCCAATTCGCGTATAAAAAATAAAAAAAAACTGTTAATAGAGAATGTACTATTTACCAGATATCGAAATGGGAAGAGAGATTACAGGAGCTAATAATCCGGTGGTATTATATGTGAGTGGTGGTAATACACAAGTAATTGCATATTCAGAACATAGGTATGATATTAAAGTTCTATTATTCACAATAACATTCATTTATCACTCATTTATATGTCATTTATATGCGTATAATAATATTTATGAATAGGTATAGAATATTTGGTGAAACACTTGATATCGCTGTTGGAAATTGCCTTGATAGGTTCGCAAGAATATTAAATTTACCAAATGATCCGAGTCCGGGATATAATATTGAACAATATGCTAAGCGGTAATATTGAAAATAAGTAATTTATATGAATTTAAATCTATGTTTTATTATTTTGTTGCTTACATGTCTACATGTCATTTTATTATTAGAGGAAACAAATTTATTGAATTACCCTACACGGTTAAAGGAATGGATGTTTCATTTTCTGGAATTTTATCCTTTATAGAAACAGTAGCAAATGAGCAACTTTCCACCGGTCAGTGTACTCCTGAGGATCTTTGTTTCTCTTTACAGGAAACCCTTTTTGCTATGTTAGTTGAGACAACCGAAAGAGCAATGGCACATATTGAAAGTAAAGAAGTTTTGATAGTCGGTGGTGTTGGATGTTAGAATCTTATATAAATTCCGAATAAAATTTATCAAAATTTCAATAAATAATGACTAATTTTCTGAATATTTGCAGGTAACCTTCGTTTGCAAGAGATGATGGCACAGATGGCTGAACAACGTGGTGGAAAAGTATTTGCAACTGATGAACGGTAAATATAAATGATTAATTTGGTATTTCTGAAAATCATTTATTAATTTCATTATTTAACACATCAAGTTTTTGTATTGATAACGGCATAATGATTGCCCATGCCGGATTACTTGCATTTAGGACTGGGTTTGTAACACCAATAGAAAAAGCAATTTGTACACAAAGGTATTCTTGTAGTGGATTTGTGTTGATAACTTTTCTTTATTAGTATTAATGTGATTTAATGAATTATTAGATTTAGAACCGATGAAGTTTATGTTGCTTGGAGAGATGCGAATTAATGATTATTATTATGAATGGTATAATAATAATTATGTCATGATTTCAACTTTGACAAATAATTCATACATCCATCTCGGATGATTTTATTAAATACCATTTAAATTTAAAAACTTAGTTATGCAAAAAATTTTTATTATCAATCTTGATGTTAATGATAAATTTATTAATGTGAATGAAGATTTTAAGCATATTATGGTTTTGAAATAAGATGTTTTTGTTTTGGTTCTTTGTTAATTAAAATAGAGAAAAACTTTTCAATTGGTTAGAAATGATAAGAATTTTAAGAAACTTTTAAACCCTGATATTAGTGATTTTATAAACTGGACTGAATCAGACTTTTAAGAAGTTCAAGTTTGGTTCAGTTTTCAAATTGAACTTGGACTTGAAATTTTTTAAAATTATGTTTAGTTTGAGTTTAATTTTAAACTTTTTAGACAGGTCTGGTTTGGTTTGATGTTTGATTTAAAAGTTTACAAACATGTTTAGGTTTAAATATTATATAAAATTTATTTAGATATTTTCAAAAAATTAATAATATAATTTGTATTGATTAATAAAATTGTTTTTTTTTAAGTTTTAAAAAAGATATTAATTAAATTTTTTTTTGGTATTTTTTTTTCTTTAAGCAGTTATGTTTGTATTTTATTAAACTATTTGTAGTTTATACATAAATACAGAATATCATTTAATATATAAGTTTGTCATCATCTAGTTACCCAACTAGTATTTAAATATAACTTATTGTACTAATTTAGTTAAAACTAAAAATCATAACTTGTTTAACTCTTACTTTACAATAAAATATTACCAATCTAGAAACATTTTCTTGTAGAGAAAAAAAATAAAAAAAATAAAAATAATTTTAAAATTAGAAAAAAAAAACAAAAATATAAAGTAAATTAAAATTGATAAAAAGAAAATAAAACTAATCTATAAGAAAAATAAAAGAGAAAACCTGTTAACAGAATAAAATTCTATTTCATAATTGCTATTCATTACAATATTTTCATATTTCTATAGACTATAACTATTATTTAAAAACTAAGTATTTTTAATTAGAATGAAAACTGTATTTACTTATAAAATAAAATTTGAGATAAGTACTTTTTATATAAAAGAAATCTTTAAGTAGTTAGAGTACTGTGTTAAGACTTGAAATGTATCTAAGTAATCTAATTCTTTATAAATCTTTGTAATTATTTTTTAAAAAATATTATGCACATAGTCTTGAAATATATACATTTCTTTTATTTATTTTTAGTTTTTTTAATTTAAATCTTTTTTTAATCTGTTTTATATAATTGATTAATTCATATATTTGTTGTATTCCTTATTTGTTATATTTAAACAAATATATAAATATAAAAAAAAATAATATACAATATTAATCTTTTAACAAGAATAAATTAAATTTTTATTTTTTAAAAAAAAAAACAATAAAAAAATAAAAAAAAATATATCATTATTACAAAAATCTAAGTTAAAAAAAATTTTTTTAGTTGTTTTTTTTCTTCTGTTTTTAATATTTTTAATCAAAAAATTAATTTTGGTTTTATTTATTTTTAAAATATTCTTCTAATTTGGATATTAAATATATAAAAAAGTTTGTCAGATAAGAAGTTAACTTAAAGTAAAAATTATTTAAGTTTTACCTATTTCTTAGTGTTTAATATACTTGAGCTTTGTTAACAATAAGTTTATTTGGGGGTGTGGTAACCTAGTGAAGTGAATAGGTTGTCAACCCCTAAGTGGCAGATCTAGAGTTCAAATCCCAGTGATGGTGAAAATTTGCAATTCTTTCTGTGTTATAGCTAACTGTCTTCTGTGATTAGTTGGAATAAGATACCTGTAACCTGTATCATACCAGCCTGACTAGAAGGTCTAGGCATTCGTGCAATGTTGTATGAAGGAACACAAACTGGTACCAGGCAGTGTAAACCCAAGATAAGTCCTTAGGCTGTTAAATCATAGAAACCAGGTAGGAGGATGGAAGCCTACTTGGAAGACCTGAATAGAGAGATAACCCGAACTTTCGACAGTGCTACTGTAAAGACTAGACCTATAAAATGAAGCTAGAACTTGTGAAACTGGGCAAACATGCCAGTCTTTGAGGAGGAACTAGATGAACCAATCAGGCCACCAAAATTTCTGAGTTTCAGAGTAAAAAGATACATACTAACAAATATGTAAACCAGAAGTATGGTTTTGTCCTATCTTTCTAAGCTATCTAAAATAGCAGCTTAGTGGAACTTAAATTAAATACCAAAGTAGTAAGTTATGTTGTGAAGTTAGTACCAGGGTTGGGGTGAATTCTACAAGGGCATAGCAGTTTAATAGTATGTTCTGACTGCCAGTGTTGGTCTCAGCTATTGCAATATTAGGTTAACTGTAAGAATAGGATACAGAAGATTCTAAAAGGTTTAGTACAAGTTCAAAGGTTTCCTATATAAGTAAACTGCTTTAAAGACTTAGTGATCATGGCATATTTGCACTGGTATCGACCGGGGCATCTTGGTAAATGTAGGTAAATAGGTGGATATAAAAACAGAATAGTTAAATAGAGAACTTACAAGTAGGTTTCAGATATGGCAGCTAGTGTAGAACCTTCGAATGGACTACTTAAATTAGACAATGACTAAA